TATTACTGCGCGCTGAATATGTTGAGACTCGTTATGAGGTAGTTCAAAGACCCATAAAAGCGTTTTCTGATATTTGCGTCATTCTCCATTCGGACCTGGCCGAAAGACCATTTCCCTTGACTCGAGAGGTGATTTGCTTTTCCCGATCCCCGATTTTGAAGCAAGTCTGGCCCTATACTATAAAGCAGAATCTTTTACAAAAATGCAACACTCGCAAAGAACACAGGATCGAAACCCGTCTGGGTGAAACTACAAGGGCTCTTACCCGACTATTTCGAGTTCAAGGTAAATTTTGTTGTTTCTTTCATGTAATCACAACGAATAGTTCAGGCGGAAAAGGTAAGTAAACAAATAAACAAACTAACAAATAACTTGAAAATTTCCCTCTAACCGATACTTCCGTTTCACCTCTTATTAGAAAGGGTTCGATACGCAATTTCGTCTCGACTTTGGGTATTCTATTTACTCAACCTCAACTTTAATAAAAATCGAAATCGGATGCGTGGCTTATTCCAAAGCAACAGATGGACGCTGAACCTTTGTTTTTCAGCACCAAATAGGTTTGGATAAATAAAAAAATACCAAAAATAACCAGTAATCCATTTTTGTACACAACTACTTTTAGCTTCCATTAAATCCCTCGTTAGGGGAATGGGGTTCTGCACAAATAATGATTCTATGCTTTGTGAATGTGGTACGATTCCTAGAGTGTTTTCAGCTTTTGCATTACCCTCCATGCTGAATGCTTTTTGCTTATTAATGGGATCCGACGATAAACAACAGTAGTAGCTAGTTGTTATAAAAGTCAATAGAATAGCTCCCGATGAGGATGATGATGGTGCTGATGGTGGTTGTGCGTAATTAGATGGCAATTGTCCTCGTTACGCTTTCTAACTGATGATCTGAATTTCGCGCTTGCCATAGCCACTTTATTCAGCCTAACATCTTCAACTACCAGTTCAAAGTGGTAATGTTAGGCTTTGCAGAACTCATAAACTTCCCAGACCCCTCTACTCTACTTCTACCCAAGAATTAGGGCTACCCTCTTTCCATCAAACTTGCTCTCCCCGAAAACAACTTCTCTCAGTCCTTTCCTAATTCCCTACTCTCCACCACTCGGGGAAAGGGGGAAATAGCTTTTGGAAGTAGCTCTGAGAAACTGGGGTTTCTGACCTTCAAGAAGATGTAGGACTATTTCACAGTCTTGAACAGCCCACAACGGAACAAAAACCTGGCGGCAACCTGCCTTGGTCCGACTCTCTGATGAGAGGCCACTGGGAGTGAACAGGGGGACAATTGGAGCCCCCTTGGAGAATTCAATGATCAGAGGAATGACATGGGGCAAGGAGGGCAAGCGACTCACCTATCGCCTACATGAAAGTGCCAAATCCTTCCCAGTGATTTTTGATCACTTTTGAACAGTGAATCAACCTATATTCCCTAATTTTCCCTACGCTTTATCGGTAAAAGGCTTTGGAATACCGCCATATTGAAATTTGAGCGGTAGTGAAATCACAATGAGGCTGGAAATTGGAAGGTCGATCAAAAAGAGGACTCCGAGCTACTGATGGAGGTCGAGGATTTCCCATTCCAAGCCGATGAATGAAGCACAAACAACCGGAAACAATGGCTGACCGAATGTATCGATGATGGGGTTACTGGAGCGTCCCTCCTAGATGCTATCAAACTTTTTCTTGAAACTACCGACTGAGGCTTCAGACAGGTGCTAGCCGAGGGCAAGGTGTATTAGCAATAAGAACAGTCCGATGGCCCTCTCTTACATCAACAAACATAAGCTGACTGAATGCAGCTGTCTTCTCGACGGACAAACCTATGTCCACGGTACATCCAAGTAATTCCATAAGCCAGCTTTATCCGGTTTTTTCCGTTCGACAGCCACAACGACAGCTTGTTAACCTATTCATGGATATTCTACGACAGATTGCAGCGGTTGCAGCCAGTTGTCAATAAATACTACTAGTAGTAAAATGCCTGTGGTCAGAACCTAAAATTGTAGCTAAAACCCCCCGGATGACCCCTAATGAGGATCTTGCAGCTATAACTCTGGAGAGTGAGCCATTTTCTGCCCTTTTTGCTTTTGTGGGCAAGGGTGCGTAGCCATAACTCATGAACCTCAGTCAATTTCCGATGTCGGCGGAGTTTTGGGGAGAGGAGAGCAGGTAATGACTTCGGCCTGGAATTTTGATTGCTGTTAGGCAGATTTTCGGCTGCCAACGTCCTGGTCGGACTGAAGCCATGTAGTTCCGCGGGAGACGGAAAACAGGCCGAAACGAGTAGGAACTTTGTAACCCCACCTAGAATTCCTACAGTACTCACAAGAACGTGAATCAAGTCAAACAAAATAGGCAGTTTGTCAAGAATGCTGTCAACATTAGGTAGTATCCAGAAGTGTAGAAGTTAGTGAGGAAGGACTTTGGGGTAGGCGCCTCTGCTACTCCAGACTTTTCAGAGCTCAAGAAATATAGGGAAGCCTGTATACTACATGAGACCAAAGTATCCCCTTAGAATGCTGGAATTAGTAACTGTTTGAACCAGTTATACCAAGAAATCAGCTGGAAACCCTGAAAGGCTTCATTTTGGAATGGATCTTTTCTGCAAAATGAGAAAGAAGCCTATTTCATGTTGAGGAAACCTGCCCTTTCAAGAGTTCTTCTGATTGCCATCACAAGAAGAACCCAATACCTAATTTCCTGAAAACGTCGAAATGAAGTTTGTTCACGGCTTCGCAGCAAGCTCATTACCTCTGGCCCCAGAATAAGAATTGAGTTGAACTCTTTTGACATTCTGAACTAGCAGGAATGAGGAAAAAGGTTGCATACTGCAAGGACTCTGGAATTCTCGGGGTTATTTTTGTTTCTTTTATTCCTCAGGGCTTTTCAGCAATCTCTTCAACTTTCTGAAAACAATTTCTTTAAACTTCCTACCCTGAATATGAACGGTATTGTTAGTTTCTAGGAACCACTTTAGTGTACGCCATGTATCCTACTTCCTCACGAATTAGTCACAACAGCTAGTTNAAAAAAAATTGTACGGGACTGCCGTCCCAACAAGCCTATAAGACCCGGTTCGATCCAAAGACTGCGCAAACGTAATACAGCAATTTTAGCCACTGCGCTACCTACCAGATTATTCTACAGCTAAGCTTTGTAGAATGGTCTGTTGTGAACCAATCCCTCTGCTATCAATCAATCCTGGCTCAATAAAAACCGACCATTATTCGTCAAAGCACAAGGCAAACTACTGCATCGACAATATTTGCCTTTATCGATTAGTAATATATTTAATATTTACCTTTTCAAAGAATAATATATAAAATCCTATACAGAGGCTGGTTGAATGAATTCGCCCGGTGGCATGGCTGAGAGAAAATTGCTTGAAATAGGCTGTTTTCGGAAAGCGATCAAAGTAAACACACGCGACAACTAATAGCCCAAATTCTGGACAAAGAGAGCTTTTCTGACTGTGCCCTTAGGGTTCAACCAGTGCCTAGCAGGGACCTTTTTAGTTGGTTGGCTCGATTCCAATCGATCACCGCACTCACAATGCCCCGCCGACGAACGAACCCTCGTCGTAGTGCATGAAATGTTAATTGAAGAGCATGGCAATTTGGGACGTATTAGGGCAAGCCGAGGGACTACGAAGGAGACATGAAGGCGGTTGCCCTTCTATGGAGGAGATACCTTCAATGAAAGCCCCCAAGGGAAGAATATGAGACTGATCGAATTCTTTTGATATAACTTACTCGTGTAGAAGCTTTAGTACGTCGATGTTCTGAGCTTGGAAGGTGGTACTTTCGAACACGTGAAAACATCAACAATCAACAATGAAGACGAGGAAGACGACGACGATGAACAAGATGAAGTGCAGTGAATAGTAGTGACAAGTGGTCGGGTATAATGACGATAGCCGCCTGGGTGAAATTTGAGAGTAACGGGGGTCGAAAGGGGATGTGATATGATGGGGGATGGCCAGCCACCCAGCCCAGTCAGAGAGACAAGCGTTGGCGCAGCACCTGTGCAGCGGACGGCCGCCGACGTCGTGATGAGAGCGGCGGCGAAACGTACACAAAAAATCCGATCCAATAACATCGATAAGAACGAATAAATGGTTATGGGAGGGTTTCCGGTCGTTCCCTAACTACTATGCCCAATTCCCCATAGCTAGCCTATGCATCGGAATGAATCCGGGGCTTTTTCCGCGTCATCTAGAGGTTCCCGATTGGAAATTCGCCCAAATACTAACCATAACGAAATATTGCACTTTGAAAAATCAAACTAAGTTTTTCTATTCCATCATAATACGATTTCAGGATTCGTTTATTGAATGTATACATAATTTTGTGGGATTTGGCAACGCTGGCTGCAGTGCAAGTGTGATTGCCCTTCGGGATGGCAGTGCCCACTTAGAAGCATGGGAGATGTGACTGAGTCTTCCCTGGCATTCTTTTCCTACAGCTTTTAACTTTATAAAAACATAAAGATATGTTTAATTCATAGGTGCACTCAAAGTAAGAGTCATACCCATGGGTTTTTGCTATTCGAATATGCATGAGAACACTGGAGGATGGACGGCTGGGAAAGGATGAAGGGAGGTCGTGGGGGAGATATGTAGCTACAGCAGTGAATAGAGCGATTCGAATTAAATCGACAAAAACACTCAAATTGCCCGAGCCAGTGAACGATAATCCACTCATAAATCACAATTAACGAATAGCGAATAAAATGGACGAGTTATGACTACAAAAAGGCAAAACTGCTCGAAATGGGAGCTCAAAAGAGCTCAAAAGCAAAAATGAACACCGAAATCCGCAAAAAAACTGACGGCAATAAGTTGGGAATAAAGGTAAGCGAACAAAGGACTCACCACCATATTCGTAGATTCGCGGATGACGGCAATCGCGCACGGAAAAGTCGCGGATCGCGCGGTTGTCGCGCGATACTCGACTGCTTTCGGCGATCGGATCAGTAGATGCTCGCCGAATGTCGTCACCGACCCGCCCACTCGTGTCGCGACTCCGCCCACTTGCGACGCCGCGACGTTGTCAGACGACGACGAGTTGGCGACGGCAGTGCAATGCTCGTGATGAACGAAGTGATGTTCGTCTGACGGTGATTGAATATCGTCGTTGTGTGCATGCCATGCAATCGCCGCGATTCGGTCGCCGATTCGCAGCTGTGTGGCCGATCTACAATGAGTTAGTGTTGTCTACTAGTAGATGACGTGCATTGATCGTCTGAGCTTCATCTGACTTCTCTGTCGGTCGCAAAGCGCCCTCCAGCCAAAGCTCACTCTCTTCTACTTGACCACTTTTGCGAGCTGTTGCAGTTGCAGCTGAAGGCGGCGGCCGAAGCAGCCGGCCGGTCGCCACCTCGTAGCTGGCCAACCGAGAGTGAGCTAGCCGTCTGTCTATCTAGCTTTGTCCCCCATCGCTCCCTCTCTCTCTCGTTCTCACTCCCAGGGAACACAATGTGCCTCATTAAGTTCGCGCAGCCAAGCTGCCGGCCACGTGCATTCGGTGATTCATATACACACACAACAGACACATTTCTGATGAGTAACCTAATGCGGTCAGCTAGCTGACCGCCTATTTATTAGCGCAGCGGCCCTACTAAGCATTCGCCTTCCGCTTATGGAGCGCTTTTTTTTGAATCCTAATGGTCAAGCTGGTCCGAATGGCATCAACCGCATAATTCTACATGGCTACCCCGTTTCAGAACATCTTCCCGGCCCTAATAGACGTCATTGAATGCGAAAGCAAATGGTCGTAAGAAGGAATAGATGGAGCTCTAGGGATGTGATTCCGATACGAGTATGGAACATACCTCGATTTGACGTCCTTTGGCCCAGCAACTAGCAAATAGCGATCGTTTTGTCTGGGATCGAGCACCTCAAGAGCCAGCGCTGAAGCATCGAATTCGACGAAGTGCAACCTCTGAAAACGGAAATCAACGCCGTGACGTTTGCTGCTTTCATCAAGAAAAAAAAANAAAAAAAAACGCTTTGTTTGACGTCCAGATTTCTCCTTGAGCACAAATGTCCCCGAATTTCGAGAAGTTTCCAAAATTCCCTAGGTGAAATTTCCTGTATACAGAGATACGGAGGGACATATGTGGGTTTATAATGAGAACCGCTGGAAGGAACATTGTATTGCTGCCTAGAAAGGTTATGTTGCAATTACACCCTTGCCAGATCGGATCCTGTCGGGGGAAAGCAAATAATTCATCATTTCTTGATTGAGAATTCATACATAGGAAACGATGGATGGATTGATCGAGATGACGAAAATACATGATTAGAAATGGATGATCCCAGATGCTACCGTATACGTGCTTGGAATGGCAATATAGCGTAAGGAATATAGCACAAGCACGGCTTCGAGTCCTGTCCGGAGCCGAAGTTTTGCCCATAACTCGCCAGCCTTGCGGGACCATCGGTAGCAACTGCAGTCATAAGCTGGGCATGAATCAAAAAAATCGTAACCACGATTATTCAGACCTCAACAACCTTTGTTATTGAAATCGCTATTCAGTTACTGCGTTCGCAAGTCGATTTAGAGTATTTTCAGTTTTTTAGAGCACTTGGTAGAACCTATGAGATCACGCCTTCATAGAGATAAATCCCAAACCCTCAAATTTCATGGGATGGCTAGACGTGAACGTTTTTTACCATATTTTTTGTCTTGGAGAGCCGTCACCTTATCCCGAACCTTCCTGTAAAAGAGCATGCTGAGTTTGGAAGCAGAAGCGATCCCAAGGATCAAAAATTACTATCTGTTTGAAGAACTTAGGTTGGGGTGTACACAGAATGAACGGATTTTTCTACCACTGACACATTGATGCATTCAATGGGGTGGAATAGTGAGTGGAGCATGATCGTTATAAGCTAAGCGTTGCTTAGAAGTCCAAACATTTGTGTCATTAACGAGCTTCAGCCACGCCCTTTACCCTAAAATGTAGGAGGGATGCAATTTTGCAATGCAAAAATTGGTGCTCGACCTGTGAAAGTATACGAATATCGTAAAACTGCCACAAATAGCTCTTTGATGTGCAGAAAAAGTAACGGGCATTTTGGGATAAACAAAAACATTCCTACGTCCGATGACCATCGGCTCTGACACCGATCCAAAGCGATTCAAAGTTGGGTTCTATGAGTTTGTAGCTCTGCTCTTATGGATCACAACTCTAAAGTAGAATTGGAGACGGTGGCCGGAAAATTGTGAATTGCCCGTGGCTTCTCGCATTCCGAAGAAGCATCCCTGACGAGACTTAGCCCAATAAAGCTCACTGTGAAAATGAAATTCTGAACTCTTGAATAGTTCAGTCAAGTCCTATCACCCATTTAAATGGTAAAAAAAACAGCCGAAAGTGGATACAACGTCTATTTTCTGCAATACATCAACTGAACCGAATGCACGAAACGAGCATTCCGCTATTGTTATCCTGCCCATGAAAACGAAAGGACCCGATAACGGCTCTCACATCACTATCCTGATGGCCTTTTATGCCTCAGTACTCAGGTGGTGCTTCCCAATTCCACCTAGGAATACGTGTAGATAGCCGGGACCAAGCCTTTGGCCAAGTTCCACTGAGTACGTCAACTTTATTAATCCATTCCCTTGTGAAAACACCAATAACGTCCCCCTATCTCTGCCATCGGCTAGCCCTAACCACCAGACATTTGTTCCTCTTTCGCTCAAAAACTAAATTTGAACAAGAAAATACAGCGTAAATTATGATTTCGTGCTGAGTTTGAGTTCTTGTTTTTCAGGGTTCCTCCATGAAGTTGCGATAATTTTAGAAATTTTCACGGATGACGATAGCGTTTAACATTTGCCAAAAATAGCAGACTCTTTTGAAGTCATTACTTGCCCCACACTGCCATTCTACGTCATTCCATCTTAGCTTTTCCATCTACTTGGTATCCTAATAGAATGAGCTGTGATTTAAAATGGGTAAAGTGACGTCAATTTCGTTTTTTCATTCCAATATGACGAGATAGGGCAAATTGAAATGATTCAAAAAGGGTGAAATATTTCAGAGCTGACCAAAATACAATCATATGAGAACATTGGCAGATATTTTCAGGATAACTTCTCAGCCACGCTTTTCTTGATTGTTTGTATCCAAACGGGATAGAGGAAGGTGGTCTGAGGGCAAGTATGCAGCCCACTATCTCATACGCATGGTCACGGGATCGAATCCTAGGATAACCAAGCCTTCCATCCCTCTGAGGTCGGCTAATTGGTACTAGACTAGTCTGGGAGAATAAAAGCACTGATTCGTTCATCGGGTGGCCACCGTAATCCATTGTGTAGGCCACATACGTATTCAATACGCTACTACGATTCCGAATGAAAGTGGATGCGAGGGCGCATCCCCTCAGACGGGTTTGCTCAACGCCCAAAGACTTCATCCTTATGTCGTTTGTACAAACAGGATGAACTATGTTTTTGAGTTAAATCCCAGAATTTCTGACGGCTCCCTTTTCCATCAGGGTATGACATCATGTAGGAAATCGAAATTTTTTTATGGAACGAACTGATTGTGAGCTGAATAAAAGTCAATCTAACCGGAAAAGTGGGCTTCTCAGAACAAACCCGCAGCTACCCTATCTTAATTGCATCGCAACAGGATCAGCTTTGTTTTTTAAGACGAAAAGAAACGTCTCCGATAAGCTCCTCTTCATGGAATGACGTGATGTTTCCCAGAGAAACATTCAAAGTCAAAAAAATCGAATGTGAGCTGGATAAAATCCAACTCAGCCGGACGGGAGGAAGGTCTCATTATCGGAATAAAACAGCTATGGACGAAGTTACGATAGGCATGTAGGATATTTCAAGTGATTTCCAGGGCCGGCACCGTGGACCATGGTCCCAAAAAGCATCGGAATCAGTAAAGAATAGTAGAATTGAGTGAAAGTGATCAGAGAAAAAGTGCTGTGAAAGGTTTGCTATCCATCGAAGGCGTCAAGAGCTAGACGATGTAATTAAACCCGAAAATTCCCCTCAATTCCTCCCATAATCATTTTCTCCTCATGGAACCTGAAAAATTGGGCCGAAAATGATTCCGGGGAGAAAACGGCAGGGAAGGGCAGAAGTATCAGCCGGCCCCGTGAAAAATTAACTTCCGATTAAAGCCTTGTATATACTAAAGCATCTAGTCAGCAAGGTTTATTGACCTGAACAGCCATAGAGTGGAAGTGATGTTCCGCATTTGTCTCTTAAACCCATCCACTACATCTTCGATTCGGAGTGAGAGGCGAGGGCAAGGCGTATTTCAAGTTGCACCTTCGCCATCTGGTTTTGTGATGGGTTTTTGCTTTGAATTACAGACTTTCCTAATGAGAATCCAAGAATGAGAATCTCGTTCAGGGACGACTACTAACGCTTTTTGAGGTCTACTGTCAAAACGTAATTAATCAAATCGAGCTTATACGTCACCATGATGATGGCAACACGATGAGGCGTCAAAAAGCTGACAGAGAAGGCAAGAATAGGACATAGCATAATGTCGAATAGATGTTACCCGTAGCCACGGGAAAATTCCACCCCAAGGGAATGGAAGAGCCAGGAAAAAAGTAAGTTTTCGCAATATTTTTAGGTGAATGGCCAGGTTCTGAAGGGAAATTAGCCACGGGAATATCCCGGTCCTAGGGAATGGAAGAGCCACAAAAAAGTCGATTTTCGCAATATTTTTCGGTCAATGGCCGGGTTCTGACGTGAAATATTTTTCGAGCTGTTTTGGATGTCACCAGTATACGTCAATTCGATGTCTTAAAGAATATCTCTGCTCTGGTTATTCTCATCCCTATAAAATTAAGCGGATAGGGAATATGAATGTGATAGGATGGATACTGAGAATAGCCGATCTCCTAGGGAAACAATGTTGATGGCCCTTTGGGTTTCAATCGTTTTAAACTGTGTCGCCACGAGCGACGATGGACGAGTTGATACCAGTATGCCTCCAGAACAACTTACCTTCAGATCCCCCTGAGAATTTTTGGAAGAACAAAGGAGGAGGGGTGGGGGGAGGAGCGTGCAAGAGGGAAAACTTGGAATCCTCATTGTGACACATTTTTATTGTAAAAAAAAATAAAAAAGAATACTTTTAACATTTTTCCTCATCTAATTTCTCTGGAGAAAAAGTATCTCAACCTTTATTCCCAACAAAAAAGTATCACGATAAGGATCTCTAGTTTGCCACCCTCTCCTGCATTCCCC